GTCCTTAGTCTCCTTCATTGCTCCGGACGTCAACCTCTGCGTGACAACCCAGCCAAGAACAAGTGACGCGACTTGCGCATCCAGACTATCTTCGCCCCTAAGACCTCTTTAGCCACGCTATTTTCAAAACGTATACCTACCTACCTTAATGTCCACATTGGGATGCCAGCCCTGATCTAAACAACAAATTTCTCACACACGATCCAACTTCCTTTCCATAATCGCAACTCCCCTGCTTTCTCCCCTCTGCACCACCGTCATAGACGAAACTCAATTCGAGAGCAGACCTGACACTACCACACGGCAACCCGACGCCATCATGGCGCACCCAACCGCCGCGGCACAACTGGCCTTGGGCACCGCGACCGAGTCCGAGGCGACGGCGACCCCTCCTCCCGAGCAGCTTCACATTGACGAAATTGACCGTGACGGAAGACACATTGGTGTTGTGCGAGACGAGAACAGGAACATTGTCTACCCGTCCTTTGTACCACCCGAGGTCGACTCGCCGAACGCTCGATCACCGCAATCCACGACCGCGCCTACAGTTCCCGAAATACCACCAAAGGATGAAAGGGCCACAAAGACCGAGTCGGCCCCAAACGGGCCTGACCACCTCGAGGTTCCCGGAACGTCGAACACCCAAGAACGCCCTCCCATAGATAAGAAGTGGAGGACCGAGGCGCCTGCACGAAAAGCTGGCCAGAGCAGCGCGACACGGCGGAACGTCCCCAAGCGATCCGGAACATCGTACCTCGATAGGGCACTCTGGGAGGCCGACAGAGGAGATTCGAGCTCGAGTTCGAGCTCCAGCGACTCCTCCGATGACGAGAACGCCCAAGACAGCAAAACTCCGGCCGAAAGGAAAAAGGCACAAGATAAAGCCAATGCGAGGCGGCAAAAGGAGATTGCCGAGCGCTACCGCCGCTTCCACGTCGGCAATGACAATTACAACACCAAGGGCAAGGTGAAGAAGGACGGTCGTCTGCGCATCTCGGTCAAGGAGACGGCCAATACCGGCTACTTGGCCAAGGCGTTAGGACAGGCCGTCAAGAAGGTGGTGCCGGTACCCGAAGGTGAGGAGCAGGGCGAGGATGCGCAGCGTCCGTCCGTGTCACGTCTCTCCTCCGCTACCACGGCCACGGCCGACCGCGAGCCGAAGCCGCGCTTGAATATTGTCATCATGGTCATTGGCTCCCGCGGTGACGCGCAGCCTTTTCTCAAGATTGGCAAGATACTCAAAGAGGACTATGGACATCGCGTCCGTATTGCGACGCACCCCGCCTTCCGCGAGTTCGTCGAAAAGGACTCCGGTCTGGAGTTCTTCTCGGTCGGCGGCGACCCCTCTGAGCTGATGGCCTTCATGGTCAAGAACCCGGGCATGATTCCGACTCTGGATGCTGTCAAGGCCGGAGACATTGGACGTCGACGTTCAGCCATGGCGGAGATGTTTGACGGTTTCTGGAGAGCTTGCATCAACGCCACCGACGACGAGAAGGATGTCCACAACCTCAAGATGATGGGTGAAAAGGACCCCTTCATCGCTGACGCAATTATTGCCAACCCCCCGAGCTTTGCCCATATTCACTGCGCAGAGGCCCTGGGCATCCCCTTGCATCTCATGTTCACATTCCCCTACACTCCGACACAGGCCTTCCCTCACCCCCTGGCCAGCATCAAGAAATCCAATGTGGATCCCGGGTACACCAACTTCATCTCATACCCCCTGGTCGAGATGATGGTATGGCAGGGTTTGGGCGATTTGGTCAATGACTTCCGCGTCAAGACCTTGGGATTGGATGCCGTCTCGACACTTTGGGCTCCGGGAGCGACCTATCGTCTGCACGTGCCCTTCACCTACCTTTGGAGTCCTGGCCTCGTCCCTAAGCCTCAAGATTGGGGTGAAGAGATTGACGTTTCTGGATTCGTCTTCCTCGACTTGGCTTCGACATTTGATCCACCCAGCGAACTGGAGAAGTTTTTGGATGCTGGGGAACCGCCTATCTACATTGGTTTCGGCTCGATTGTCGTCGATGATGCGGACCGTTTCACCCAAATGATCTTCGAGGCTGTTGAACTTGCCGGGGTTCGCGCGCTCGTGTCAAAGGGTTGGGGCGGCTTGGGAGGCGACGAAATGGATGTTCCCGATAATATTTTTATGCTAGAGAACACGCCTCACGACTGGCTCTTCCCCCGAGTCAAGGCCTGCGTCATTCACGGCGGAGCTGGAACCACCGCAATTGCCCTCAAGTGCGGTTTGCCGACTATGATTGTTCCTTTCTTCGGCGACCAGCATTTCTGGGGAGCCATACTTGCAACAAGCAAAGCTGGGCCTGAGGCTGTACCCTACAAGCAACTCGACGCCGAGAAGCTCGCCGAAGGCATCAAGTATTGCCTTACGGATGAGGCGAAAGAAGCGGCGGCCAAGGTCGCCAAAGACATTGAGTTGGAAGGCGACGGCGCCAAGAATGCTGTGCGGTCGTTCCACCACCACCTGACTCTGGGAGGCATGAACTCGATGCGCTGCTCCATTCTGCGTGACCGACCGGCAGTCTGGACGCTGAAGAACACCAATGTCAAGCTTAGTGCCCTCGCCGCCGACATCATTGTCGAGGAAGGACAACTTTCGTGGAAGAGGCTAAGACTGCTGCGGCACACGGAATGGAACGACTTTGAGGGCCCTGGAGAACCGGTGACTGGTATCGCGGGCTCTCTCGCCGGGACGATGGGCAACGTGTTTGGCGGTATCGGTAGCGTTCCCTACAGGATTGCCAAGACGTCACACAAGCGCAAGGAGAAGAAGGACAAGAAGAAGAAGGTGAGAGCCCTCCGAGACAAGCGCACGAGTGCCAAGGAACGCAAGGCCGCGATTAACAGTAACGGCGCGCTGCAACCGCAGGAGGGTGACGAGGACAATTCCAAAAAGGAGGGCGACAAGGCGAAAGCAAAGGGCGGGGACGACAGCAAAGCGCAGAAGAAAGATGAAGGAAAAGCCGAGGAGAACAAAGCAGATAAGGAAGACGGCAAGAACAAAAGCCAGGGAGAGCAATCCCAAGCCAACGGAAACGCTTCTTCTGCTAGACCGGGTGCGCAAGAACGTCGCGATACCATGTCATCGATCGATACTGGAACTACCGTCGACGACGCCGTCGGAGACTACGCCAATGAGGTCGGCGAGGGCGTGGGCAAATCGGCACAGGCCCTGGCGAGGGCACCGGTAGACCTATCCATGGCCATCGCTCAGGGATTCCACAACGCTCCTCGGCTTTACGGTGACGATACCGTTCGACGCCCACCACGTGTTACCGGCATCAGCTCTGGATTGAAGGCGGCCGGCAAGGAATTCGCTTACGGTATCTACGACGGCACGACCGGCCTCGTTCGCCTACCCGTCCGGGGTGCCAAGAAGGAGGGCGTCAAGGGATTCGTCAAGGGAACAGGCATGGGTCTCACGGGATTCGTACTCAAGGATCTCAGCGCCATCATTAGTCCCGTTGGCTACACTCTGAAGGGCATTGCCAAGCAAGTCGAACGGAAGAAACAGCCGGATCGAGTCGTCCGTCGGGCCCGTCTTGTCCAGGGCCAACGCGAAAGACGGAACCTCCCAGGCGATTCAAAGAAGCAAACCGACAAGGACGTAGTCACTGGTTGGTATACTATTCGCGAACTCCTGGAGACCCTCGAGGCCGAGAAGAAGCAAGGCATCAAGGGAGTCTTCTCGCACAAGAAGCAACGAGTCAATCACGCAGCCTTTGAGAGCGTCGACATTGCCGACCGCACCCTACAGGCGATCAAAAAGGGTGAGGATATAAGCACTGTCGTCGGCACGGAAAAGGAGCTTCGCAAGGCGGATGAGAAGTTGAAGAGTCCTGCGACTAGACATAGTGTTGATACGAGGCGGTCGACCGAAACTGCGCGGGCGCGCAAGTCTGCTGAGGATCAGGAGAACTCGGGGGGCTCGGACAAGAACTCGTCCAAGAGGAGAAATGATATCGCGGAGAACGAGGAAGGGGAAGCACGAGCCGAGGCGGCAGACCGCGCGGATGCCAAAGACAAGGCTGCCGCGGAAGACGCACAAGACAGAGCGAAGGCTTCTGAGACCAAGTCTAAGGACGGAGCCCAGGTTAATGGCACGGCTGGAGTAGAGCATAAGACGCAGTCAGAGGAGGACGGGCATCGCCGGTCCAGCGTTGATCGCGCGAGGTCGGCTCAGGTTTAGGAGTTTGGGAGGCTATCTTCTGTACGGCGTTTCTTTTGTTTTCCGAGTGGGTGAGAAGAGAGATTTCCAAATCAGACAGACAGACTAACCCCCAACGCCCAGGCATGTTCGGCACATGCGTTGTTTGGCTTTGGGACTCCTTTTTAGATACTTTTTCTGACTTATACCCCCACCCCTTTTTCTTGTTATTCCGGTATAGGAGTAGCGAGTAGTTTTCTAATCAAAGTTAATATCCAAGGGAATATTCCGATGCTTTTGTGAGAATGGCTGATGGCTTGGGGGCCTGTCAGGCGGTGAGAGAGATGTAGGTGAGTGCCCGTCACGGATGGACGAAGGTTTGTTGTTTTGGTTGGACGAGGAATATCGAATGTCTTCCGTAAACATGGTCCCGGAGGATGATAGACAAGTGGAAAATAGACACCGTGTCGAACCGCGCTATGTTCAACATATCTCGGTTTCTATCTGGTGCCCCGTTTTCTCCGTATTACCAGATCCTGCTGCCTGCCGCTTGCTCGATACATACCTGCCTTAGGATGAGGTACCTTCCTTGCACGATGGACCCGGAAGGCAGGTACGAATAATCATTTTTCCACGGCACCTTCCTCGAATATGAACCAAGTCTGCTTGCGCACTTTTGTGCCTCAAAATATTTTTCCCTTCCTCCCGACTTTGTCCTAATTACATCCCCCACGCCTTGATTTTACACACGATTGTGTCTGATCAGCCTTGCCCACCATGGCTTCTGCTAACGAGTACAGTTTGACGGATGAACCCGACTACGATGGCGACTACTCCCCCTCAAGGTCTCGAAGAGGCCGGCGCCATGCACTTCGATGGCGATGAGGAGGACGACGTTGAGATCGACGGCATCGTGCAAGGCACAAGAAGACGACGAGGTGCACGCTCCCAGGCACCGACTGAGCCCGAAGAGCCCCGATCGACGAGACCGGCAAGACGCAAAGCACCCAAGCGAGGAAGGAGTCCGTCGGTAGAAGTCGTCTTGCCAGACAGAACCAAGAGGAAGAAGACGAGCCATCTGACGCCAAAGAGTGGCGGAGTCGCGGAGCGGTCTCGAGAAGAGGGCAGTTCCCATTCATCCTCGCCCGAGCCTACCGAGGGTCACGTTCTATGGGGCCTTGTGCGAGAGAATTTGTCAAAGAAGATGTCTACGGCCCGAGTTCGAGAGTATATGGATGAGACGCTTCCTATCCTGACGAAACGTTAGCTCGATCGCTTGTTCCCAAAGAAGTTGCCCTAGTCGAAATACAACAACATGAAATTCGACACAAGCATTGTCGATAAGATTGAAATCGAAAAGGATGGTCAAGTCTATAAGAAACGTCCGGCCATATGGTCGGAAGCATTCTGTCGAAGCCTTCACCATCTGTCTCTACATCCCATCTGGGCAAAGAACCTCGGGCTGCTCGTCACCGCTCTGCAGTACGCCTCCGTCCTCCGCACTAAGAACTACCAGTATTGGCCGTTGGGCAATAATACAAACGACAACTTTCTCGCCGCCTTTATTGATGTAATCGACAAACACAAGGGCCAGGGCAAGCCGCTGTACGAGCTACACGGCAAGACGAGGGAGCGAATCACCAAGCCAGCATGTGATTCGTCCTTGTTGTCGAACCTGATGCTGGTTCTTGAGGAAGGCGTTGTTCCCGATCCTGAAGCGGAGCCTCGTGGGAATGGCAGGAAGTTCCGACCATACAAGATTAGCATTCAGGAGATCAACAACCTCAACAGGGCCTTGGCCAACTCTACATACAGGGGTAGACCACGCGGGGGAGGCTTCACGCCCAAGGAATTTGCCAAAATCACCGCCCACGGTCGAAGACCATTGGAAGAGCTCCCAGGCGAGAGCAATATTGCCGAACTTTACGAGCGAGCCATTCTTAAATGTCTACGATGGGAAGCCAAGAACAAGAATCAACGAGCCCGACTCAACGTGCCAAAGACTGAGCCTCACCGACGGCCGGGTCGCTGCGAGGAAGCACACGGAGATGACGCGACAGAGAAAGCTCAGCTGAGGGAAGAACTTGCCGCGTCAAGACGCAAAGTAGAAGAATATCGGGCGGAACTGCGAGCACAATCACGAAGCGAGGTGCAGAGAAGAGCTACCGTGAAAGATCGCCTAGATGCACTCCAGGCCGAGAATCGACCGTTGAAAAACATACTAGACAGTGAAGCAAGCGATCATGAAAAGACGTAACAACTCCAGGCTGAGAACCAGGAGTTGAAAGGCAGGCTGGAAACTCGACCTGGCGATCGTTCAATGATGGAGCAGATCTTGCAGGAGGAAGTTGACTTCACAAGACGCCAGTACGACACAATAATGGCGAAACTACGAGCGCCACATGAAAGGCCTAGCGCCGAGGGGAAACTTCAGGCTGAGAACCAGGAGTTAAAGAGTAATGTTGGTGGACATGCGCGGATAAAGAAAGACCTCAGAAACAGACTGACACAAAGCGACCAGGCAGCCGCGCAGCTGGAGACTGTACAAGCTGAGAAGGACGACCTCGAGGCAAAGCTCAAGTCCATGGAAGCCAGGCTTAAGTCCAAGGGGGCCTCGGCCAGGAGAAGGAAGAAGAAGAATCGCAAGTTGGAGAAGAAACTGGAATCCTTTCGCTTGCAGACGGAGGCTAGAATCCGAGTGAATGAGCCATCAGGCTCATCCGACGACATGGGCCTTGGCTCGGACAACATGAATGCTGGCCCGGAAAGCACGAACCCGCGACCGAAAGAGATTGGAAATGGGACCTCTGAAGGCGGCAGTGATGGGCACACCGAAGGTGGCCACAATGAACCCGCCGCAGAGCTATCTGAAGCTGAAATCTTGACCAAGATGCTTGCAGTGACACGTCCCAAAGAGAAATGGCGTCACAGCACTGAATATTACCACGTGCTCTCTCGAGATCCCTTAAAGAGGGTCGCCCATCCGGAATACATCTAGAGGGAGGGAAGGAGCGTTGAAACTGGCGCCCCGGCGATGAGACGAGGCCAAAGGCCTCGTTGGACAGTGATGGTATGGGGGGGCGTGTGGGTGTGATGACTTTGAATAAGAGGGTTGTAGGAAAATTGACGGTTTCTTTTGGGCGAAACAACTTGGAAACGATTGACCGACCTGAAAAAGTGACTGTACCATTTGCATCTGTAAACAATACGTCTATGAACGTACTGACCGAGCTTTGCCCAGCCTGCATTAGATCCAAGTTGTCCCAGTATAGTGGCCAGCTCTTCCACCTCTTTACGAATTTCATAATCTCTCAGCTTTTGACTCAGCGTCTATTCCCAATCCATACTCAACTTTTCCAACAGCGTGTCGCCCTCCTCGCACGCCTGGTAATCCTTGTTACGGTTGTATAGCTTTTGGTCAATCCCCGTCGCGCTGGACTCAACGTCTTGCCTGATTGATTGGCACTCTTCGAGGCCTTGGAGAAGGACCGATCTTTCTTCAATATCCTCTCGCGACTTCTCAATACTCTCTCTCATGTACGAGAATCGAACCATGGTACTTACTTTGGAGGTGTCTGCAATACCACCCCTCGTGCCAGTCCTTGACTTCTTCTTCCTGTTCATGTCGTCAGTGTTTGCACCTCCTTCGACAATGTTGAAGCCGTAATGCCACACGTAGGAGCGAACAAGGACAATTACCAGCCTCTCGGCGACAGGAAATTGCTCTTGAAGCCATGTCTTGAGCACCACCCTCCGCGTCAGGACGGGGTCAAGGCCGTGATGGCGCGCAGCACGGACAACAAAAGACCCAGAGGGCTTGTTGTTGTTCTTGGAGCTAGCTGTCAGGCTGTATTGAATCAGCCGTACCATCAACTGGAACGAGTCATCTAACATAGAGCGGGCTCTGACGTTGGTGTATCTCTGCGCCTGCCAGTCCTGTATATGACCCCTGCTTCTGAACGAGGCGGTCGATGAAGTCCCGTGGACTGTCAGTCTGTGCTTCGCACTTAATGAATCGAGGCTGATAGTACTCTTTGGAGTCTTTGGTGATGGAATGGTCATCAAACATACTACCTGCTGCGCGAGCGAATGTGAGATTTGCTTGTGACTGAATGTCATCAAGCCCAAAGCCCTCAAAGGCTCTCAGCTTGTGTCTTGAGAGAAGCGAAGACCTCCTTGGGTTCCATCCAACCTCGACAAGTTTTCCGCCTCGATCTATGATGCTTAACACAATCATATAGACTCCGGGGCCTGTCGCTTTTGTCATAGCCTTACATGGAAGCGCGAACATCAAGAAGCGTGGTCCGACACCAGTTCGGAAAGATAGTGACTAAAGGCTGGCGCTTTCTTTCTCTGTTCCCGGCGTCAAAGGATCTTACGTTATCGGCGTCGCTATCTAGGTAGTATTCAAGGGGAATAGTAGCAGGAAGGTCGAGTACAATGCCAACGACGAGGACGAAGACGGGATTGAAGACGAGGACGAAGTTGACGCCGAGAGAAAAGACGCGGAGGGAAGAGATAGGGACAAGGTGAAAAATCTCCGTAGTGATCTTGATTATAATATTTATCTTACTGCACTTACTTAAGGATCATGAGGACTGTGAGGAGCCTACAGCCTAGCCTCTCTACTCGTAACCTTCCTACTAACATACCTCTTCCTATACGGTTTGTTACTTCCACCATCGTTTTCCAACCAGTTGCTATAGGTGCCACCAATGGGCCGCATTCAGGGCTCTTGCTGGGAGGCATTAGTCTGCATCTAGGCTCATGGTGATAAGTGAGAAAGATTCATCTGGAAAACACTGCGTTCCTGAGAGGTTCTTTATCGCTCTGGAATATTTACATCGTGGGTCGGGGGCGGCGTGTCCATGTTGGGCTTTGGGCAAGGTTGGGAAGTGGACCAAAGAGATGTTGAGAAGGATAAGCCATGATACAACTATTGCCATGTCAGAGTACTGCCGTGATGGCATCAGCCGTTGATACCTAAATCGAGCCAGTCGCTATGAGCGTCACCGTTGATTTTGAGCCATTGAACTCGTCGTTGCAATAAACCTCCTTGGGAATATTGAATTTGTGTGACTCTCAAGACGTTGTAGAAGCGTTAGGCGAGTCGCAACATTAACGAGATGCTCGGCCAAGCCTGCGAGACTATGAGCCGCTGATTGATGCGTATTTATCATTACCGAGTCGAAGATTCGACAGGTGTCAGTATTGCTTCGGAAGCCGGACCCATGCTTCGGACTAAGTGTGTTGTTAGACTATGGTAGTCATGTCTGTTGCGCACTTTGACGGACATAACCCGTCCTGTAGGGATTTCGAAAGCGTCGCAGTCCCTTTTCTCGGAGGCTAGAGTCGAACTTTCGTCGACCTTTTCGTTGGTTCTCTTGTTGTGATGGAATTCCGCAATGCGTAAGTCGTCGTCTTCGTATTCGTAGTCGACTTCTACGCTTTGCTTATAGTCAAGTGAAACTTTGAGCAAATTTCCTTTTCTCAGGAATCTAAAGCCTGGCTAGATACTATCCAAGTTGTATGGCAGGTCCTTGTGCTCAGCTTATATCTATTTGGCGAATGCTACGAAAATCCGAGCATGGATGGTTACGTCGGTCGAAGTTCGTGAGTTGAGAGTTTTCGTAAGTAGAGCGGCCTGTAAGTCGAGGGCTACATGTGAGCATGAGTAGTCAAGTCAGACGGCGTTGGGGGGTACTGGGTTTTTGGAACGAAAGCTGCTGGGCAGTCAACATATGGATTTTGATGGATATAGGTTCATGGAAATTGGGGTTTGGTGAATGAAGACACTAGCTCGCGTATTGCGGATTCAGGAAAGTGTCATGAAACCAGATGCTGATTGAATCTGTCTGTCTCATCCAGTCTTTGTTCGTGCTTGGGATGGCGAGATACCTAGCCACTCTACTCGGGATGATATGGAAGGGCGAAATCATGGGGGAAGTTGCCTTGGAGAAGGTGGAGAGAGAAAGAAAAATAGAGTGGAATATTTGGATATAAGGACCTGTGTTGATTTACGGGAGTAGGCATCTATCAAGGCGGCAGGTAACTTTGCATGGCTTGTTGACATCAAAGCAGAGCAAAACCTATACCGAGTGCGACCTACATGAGCTGGAGGGTGGGGTGTCACCATGACCCCGAAGAACACGACTTCTTCTGGTTCGCAAACCACGCGGCTCCTTGGTAAGGCAACCAAGGGAAGGGGGTAGATGGCTCAGAGGGGGGGTGTCTTAGGGAAGAGGGTGGTGTGGGGTGTGTGGTGTGGACCGCCTTGGGTTCAGTCCAGACGTCGCTTACGAAAGCTGTAACTACATGGCAGAGGGGAAAGAGGAACGAGTGCAGAAAGATGCGGCTCAGAAGAGGAGGAGCAGGGTGGCAAAGATCTCCTGCATGATGTAGATTCTTTTGAGCCTGTTGTTGACCTCTCGGACTGTTTACGGGCGGGAAAAACGATTGACGACTCGAATAGTTAGAACGAGTTGTGGACCTGGCGAGAAATTAACAATATAGTCATTCTATTGCTCTCACGGCAAGCCAGGTCAAATGTGCAAAGAAGCATGCGTTACATTTCTGCATCGATCTCGTGCACTTACGCCTTGAACGGTAGATTCCAAGGTAATGATGGTTCCAAAGGTGATCTTCCAGGCCGATTCCTTTTGCCACGCTCCAATGTTGTCAACGGAGTATCACTCCTGAATCCATCCATTCTGGACCAAAGCAAAGTAATCAAGTGAACGCTGTGCAGTGTACAAGGTAAAACCCCTTCTCGCCATGATTTCACAATGAATCATATCGTGTCCATGATCGGAACAACACAGTGTGAAGGGGTTTAAATATTACCGTAAGAGCACACTGGCATCGTGATAACCATCATGAATGTGGGAGATAGAAGAGGGCTTGGGTCGTTGACTGATGATAGAGGTAAACGGGTCGCAATGGAAGTGCTTTGAGGTAGGTATACAAAACGTGCCAGGCAAACTTCAGCGATGGCTTGCACTTCGAAGTTCTGCGATAACTTTGCCCGGCCGAACGTTAAATGCAATTCTAACAACTCCTTGCAACGGCCGCAGTTCGTCAGGCTAGATACCTCTTCAATTGAAGGTGGGGTTAAGGAAGGTTGACTTACCTTAGCTCAGCCGGGAGGTCATCATGGCAGGGAGCTGGCTCGAATCATCGTCCAAGGTGCCGGCTTCTTGGTTCGATGAGCCGTTTGTGACTTGGACTGGGAAGAAAGAAATAGACGGGAACTTGGGGTGGGCGAAGAGGAAGTCCCCCAGGATGCCAAAAGCGACTGGTTCGCGAACCAGCCTGAGGCTCTCGCAGGCCTTCTCAGGCAACCGTGCTAATGCATGTGCCTTAAGTGGCGAGTGGTTCGCCCTTGGAACTGACCTCTGTGACTCTGTCCATATTTAGGTAGCCAGCGTCCTCGTCAAGAGTTCAATGGTAACAATCGTACAGCTCCAGACCGAATTTGGGCACGTGTCTCCAGCTACCCCTTATACAGCTTTATTCTCTTGCGGCGTAAAGCTCTCATCAACGGAACGTCGCCTCTGCATTTTCTCGATATTCTCCGAATATACATATCTCTTTACGACCTCGACCGCCTGTTGCTAACACAACTCTTCTCAACGAAACGAATGCCAAACACTCCTTATAGCTCGACTGACCCAGCGTGTGACAGAGAATCCGAAACGGAATCTTTAGAGTCGCAATGGCCACGTTGGAAGCAATGCCGTTGATGGCAACTTTTGCCCATGAGTTCTTCCCGTGCGTGACACTTGGCTGCACTTCAAAGCCCTTTCCAACAAAAGCCAACCTTAAGCGGCATATGAGAGCTGTGCACGGTCCACTAGTCAAAATGCGTTGCGGAAAGCTTCTACGAGGTCATTCTTGCAACATCAGACGCCATCAGCAAAGGTGCCACGCGTGTCTCCGAAAGCCTGTCGGTACTGGAAAAGTTCCAAGCATGACTAAGCCCCGTCGGTCAGAGTGTCTTAGTCAGCATGTACAACAAGTTATCACAGCACGCGCAGTCGACGGGACCCCAGCCCAGAACGAGCTATCGGGCTGTGTCACCCCTAATGAAGTCTACCTACATGCCCCTGAGAATGAGACGCGAGACACTTCGTACGATGATGGCGTCAATGCACCGCTGCATGACCCGGTTTTGGACACGATCTACGCCTACCCATACGGATTGTGAGTTCCCCTCCGAGATCATAATGATAATCTTGTTCTGACGATTTGATAGTCCTGGCGGTGATTTCACATGGACTGGTCCCATTAGTACATGGGACGAAGTAACAAACGTACGAATGCGGATATGTCCCCTTCCACTGGTAACTGTTGTGGAGAACAAAACGCTCATCGTTGATGTCGTGCAGACAACCCCACAGGATCCCGGCGCAAGAAGTATCCACTCAGATCCATCATCTTAGTTGCCTTGTCACGCTTGTCCACCAGAGCAATCAGCCCTTGGCACAGAAACGACACGTACGGGAAGTTTTGACCACTGGTTAGAGGGTCTTTGGGCTAGATTGAAAGATTGGCTCCATTGGGAATGGTCGGTGGTCGCCTAAATCCAAACAACGTGGAGGGTGTGTGTGATGAGTCAGCGGCGTAAGGCGACCAACGTTTGGATACATATGTGTCGCAGCTGCCCCTCGGATTCAACGACAAGGCGTTCTTTGTACATCACGATACCTCGAAATTATTGTTCAACCTTCCTGCGATCAGAAAGAAGTCCTGTTTATTTGGTGATGTCGGGGCCTGTTTGATCAAGACAGCGGTCCTGCGGCAATGTCTGGAGTAAGTATGCAGTCACGATATTCCAACTGGATGTGAGGCTATTTGGCTGACACTTATTGATGCGACAGTTTGCGCCGTACGATCTCAGCGACCGAGATGTCGAATTTTGACACAAAAGCTATAGAGCGTGATTCCTACCTCGATTCTATACTCGAGAAAGCCAGCAGAGGGTGGGATCTGGTGCAAGCTGATTAGGGGGAGATGATGATTTGCACGGGCTGAATATTACTGAAGGGCAAGGTCGCCGTAATGGAATCATGGCGGTAATGCTACCGAAACGCCAGGTCTTTTCTCTCAGACCGAAATCAGAAGCATTCGACTGTCTGAAAAGGTCACTTGGCACTCACAAAGGACAGTCTTGATGCAACGTGACCAAGCTCACGGCACAGAGGATGGCCTTGGACTCGAACTATCCAGGTGCACTGACTCCGTACTATAATAGCTTGGTGCACAAGGAATTGCAGTTTCTCTATGTTCCTGGTGGCTCTATGGTTCTTAGTCATCTTGAATCAAGCGGTTGGTGGGCTTTCTCTAGATTTGTGACCTCTAGGCCAAGAGTGGTGTTTTCGACATGACACGGCGGATCTGACAGAGTTATGCGATGCCTCAACTCTGTTTAGGGTGCCATCTCAATTGTCTGGGGGCTCTGCCAAAACCATCGAAGTCTCGCGACTGAAGTTTGGGCATCTGCGGATTTGTGTTTTGGATAATGTAAGTCTACGAGGCGTGATGCTCACGGATATGAAGTATACTCGGAACAAAGCGCGTTCTTTTACATTGATCAACCGCGACAAAGTCGATGGAAGTCTGATCTACGCTCCTGTGGGTAGCTCGATTGGTAACAGCTCATGCAGCCGATGGGTAATATGGGCTACTGGAACATGTTGCTTCCTAGCCTATAGGCTATGTGGCTAGCTACTCGCAATTATCCTTTGGAAAACCCTCACTATCATCTCGAATAGCCGGGTGATCGTGGAAGCCCATAGGAGCCCATCCAGGTTTCAAGTCCAGTCCGGTCCATGTGAGCACATAGCTCTGACTATAGAAGCTGAAAGGTAATTTTCTTCAGAATTGGAATGAAAAAGCAGCGACAGAATCATTTTGGTATATCAGGCATGTGGAATGACGTTCTGTGAAGATTTCGTGGCGCATATGTTCTTGTTGGTAACGCCGATCGCAACGGGTCCGAGTTACCGGTAAAAGTGGAGACGATGTCCGATCACTTGTGGAGATGCATCGGCAGTCCTCCGGGTTTCGGAACCTTCCCTCAGCGGAGAGCACGGACCGAATTGGAAACCCACTAAACATTACCGACGCAGCTTTAAAAGAATAGGTTCGGTCCCTAGGAGGTATCAAATCGGTTCAGTGACATACTGACAGCTTACCACTTTCTTTTGGAAAGAGGATGATGTCTCTACCTACTTACAAGCATACCCCACGGCAGCAAGATTAAGACCCAAGAATGTTGTCAATGCGAATATAGGACCAACCATCGCATCTATCAATTCATGGTTGGCGCGATCGATGTTGATTTCGCTAGCTAGTGGCGTCGTGGTCGGACCGGTCGGCTCTTAGGACCACGTCTGTGCCGCAGTAACGATAGCGTCTGCCTCAGCCAAACAAGCGCTAGCTAATCTTGCAATGCAGTTCAAATAAGCTCAAATACAACGTTGTAACGATGCAAGAGTTAGTCTTAGCCTGTCGCGTTGGAGTGAGTGAGTGCGCGTTGGGCTCGCATGGGTGGCCGCAAACGGCCCGAAATCGTGCCAGTCCTTCCACTAGCGACAAGCGTAATCCGTAGGTTTCGTCTTTGACCGAATTCACGCACTATTTATCAAGCTTCACGACGATGACAAGCAACGGAGGGCAAATTGAGATGTGTTTCTCACTCGAATAAGAGCGAGAGTCTGTCTCGTTCGATTCTGCAGTAGTATTGGTTGGACAGCCTCACATGGACACTCAATGAATAACTGTTCGCTTGGTGAGAAAACAGACAGAGAAAGCAGCGAGTCAGACCTGGGAACGTCGCCATTTAGGTAAAGTGACAGTGTAGTTACCGCTAGGTCTGAAGCAAGCTGACAAGATGCAACAGTTCATCGTGGAAAGGAGGTATGTGGTTGATCCGACAGCAACTGGACTGATGTGCCCGTGGGTGGCCAACTCCTTCACTACCTCCAAGTGAGGCATCATCAATCTGTCAACAGCGGAATAAGCTTTCCATACGTCACTGTGGGAGGCTCGCCACGGGAGCACCGACATGTCGGCTTCTTGGGCTCTCACACAGGGCTGGTCAGTCCGTGGTGTTGCCGCGGCACGGAATCGGGCGAATCAAGAGCCATGGAAGAAGACATCAGAAAAGGGGAAAGGGGAAGGGAGCTGCACCCTGTTCCATGTAATTTGAGTGTCTCACCCATGATGAAGGCACTCTTCATCAGCAGGCTGCAACGAAGCTAGACGCGACTATTCTCCACCAGTCCTCTACACCATCGTCCCCTAATTCGAGAATTGATATGGCTTTCGTCTTGGCTACTGTCGAGTGCTGCTGACTTGAGGCTACATGAAGGCTCAAGAGGCCCTATCGTTCGGGATCACCCGCGTTAGTGTGCTGATCAGAGTCCAGAAAGGAGCTGAACCTGTCCAACATTCCGTAGACCCACAGACCATCAGCCCGTCATTCCTCGTCGTTCTCCCGCATTACGGTATCGCAAAGTCCGACAGCAGCCTTTTAGGGGCATACACTCTTTTTTCTCTTTTGATTAAGAAGTAGCCCAGATGATAAAGTAAAAGTCTATGGGGCATATAAGATACTTCCAAAGTTAGATCCTTGGATGAACCCATGCTGGTATCGTTTGGCCGACCTCTACCCCTTAGGACGAAATCGTCGGTCAGATGATGGTCTCTTTGGGAGCACCTGTAGCGCCCTGTCTGCCTTCGCATTACTGCTTCCTTAGTTATTGCTTCTTTAGCTCCGAAGTCTGGACTGCCCGCGCTTATGGCCCGTTAGTTTGAAGTAGAACAGCTAGTCTCTTAGCCTAGGGACGGGATGGAGCGTGAGGAGAGTGTGACCGCAAGATGTGGGGGCTGGCAATGTGTCTCGCCTCACTTTCAAGCTTTCTCAGAACACTGTAAGAATGGAGTAGGAGCTGTTCTCTGAGTACGTCAATGATTAGGGGATGAACTGGATTTCCACCGTGCCGGACCGGAAAGCAGCAAAGGCTTCAGCTATTGCCCCCGTTTCTAAGATAACCTCAACAACTTGCCCGTCATTCTACCCGATACGACCGTATGTTTGATGTCCATCCTAAACAAATATTATTTACCCTATGAATATTTCTACGTATTCTCGGCGACCACTGTCCGGAGCCTCATGTCAAGCCTTCGAAGCTTCCTGCTCTTGATGCCTGAATTGGGCAGCTGATGATTGACTCCAGTCGTCTGGCTTGGCTCCCGTCATTCATTTGGCGTTTCAATGTCGACTCGTAATGGCGAGAATAACGGCAGCCGCATTCCTCAGAAGCGAGACGAGAGACGGACTACCGTTTCTTTCCCAACGGTTTCCCATATCTCATCTATATTTGGTGATGACCGTCTTGCGCGCCTACAAATCCAAGTACAGTCCAGCCTTTGGAGGTGCGTCGATACTCGCTTGGAAGGTACAGTCGTGCCTCCTGGGCATCATAGGTACCTATGCTAAGATCACTTTACCGATTTTATCGCCCGCTTTTTCCGCCCAGACGGCGACATACGGTAGCTGTATCTAAGCACATTCCTTTTTTGCTTTCACCACATACGGTCTCTCGCCTGGCTAGCTTCCATCGTGCCACCTGCCAGGCGTTCCGCCCTCTATAGCTTGTCCCATTCAGACAAGTTACCACAACTCGACTTGACCCCAAAGGCTTCGGAAAAGCTATGACTCCGCGTCACGAAACTTACTGCTATCCGTATCCACGAGCTGTGGAGGGCCTTCGACTCGTTGCCTTGTTTTCCTCATGCGCACTACCAAAAGCGCCAACCCCGCTCACCTTAAATACGAGTCGCTTCTTCAAAGAAGTATGATCAGAAGTAGACGTGGGCACTCATTCTGTTCTTTGCTCATTCCTCAATGCCTTAGCATTGGCGAGAACCATCTTTCTGTAGACCTGCGTTTCACCACCCAAGACGACAGCCGGAATCGCCATGACATCTGAAAAGGCACTCGTGTGCTGCGGCAAGACATTCACTCAGAAAGGCAACCACAAGAGACACACCAAGACCGTTCATTCAGCACGCGTTAAAATGCCCTGCGGCGGATGGCTCAAGCCTAGGGCAGACAACGTGAAGCGCCATAAAACACAGTGCGAGACATGCAAATGTCTTCGCAGTGGCCATCTCGCAAGCCAGAACAACTCGGGAACCGAATCAGAAAGCTTTCAGAGAGAATTCCATACTTCTCCAGCATTCATTGACCCGACTCACGTGGAGTCAACCACAGCCGAAGGATTTGACCCACGACATTTGGACACAGCTCATCCAACGGCAGACTGCAGTCAAGCAGGACGGACCTTCGTCTCAGCCAATTTAGACTCGGCCATTCCTGTTGATACTGGAACCTGGACTGGCTTAATCGACAGCATCTTCGAATCTCAGGTGC